CATCATCATCACCACTCACCATCATCATCACCACTCACCATCATCACCACTCACCATCATCATCACCACTCACCCTCATCATCACCATGCACCATCATCATCACCACTCACCATCATCATCACCACTCACCATCATCATCACCATCACCATCATTACCATGCACCATCATCACCATCACCATCATGCACCATCATCATCATCATCACCACCATTATCACCATGCATCATCATCATCATGACCACCACCATCACCACCTACAATCGACATCACAAGCAACAGAAACAGTAACTTAGATATCATGAATATCTTGCAGCTTTACCTTTCTTGTCATGTTTCCCATCTTTGCCCACCCTCTGGCATATACTGAGTATCTGACCCAGTAATATCTGCATGATATAGTCATAGTTTACTGGTGAAGAGGAATCCATTTCCACACACCTGAAACAAACACGGTTATCAATAACCATAATATTTAATAGACCCCTTGCATGTGATATCAAAGTATCTCAATTTAGAGGCAAAACAAAAGAATTTCAATCTCATGAGAATTGGAATCCTATCTTGTACTCCAAATTGAGCTGCATTCTGACGTGCTGAAAAGGGACTATTGTTTTATAATAATTATTATAAAGCATCTTAATTGATAGTTTTAACCTGTAGTTCCACAGGTTTGTCAGTGTAAACTGCTATTTGCTACCCTTGATAAATAAGGTTGATCATTATAGCATATCAGCACAACCACGCCAAAATTAGAGGTTTTGCACCATCATGTGATGGCAGCCAGGCTTCCTTCCACAATACAATACTACAATCGTATAGGGATTTCCTCATTCTAACAATATCTCTTCTATACTAGAAGTGATATAACTGCCCAAGCATTACCTTGCGAGTATGGAGAACAATGCTGGTAATATCAGCTGTTCGTCTGTAACAGCCAGATGTTGTAGTAACTCCAGGATGATAATCACTCTTTGCCAGGATGCCGTTTCTACCGACTGTAAGTCCTCTACCACTGGACTTCTGCAAGAAACACAGGCAAGGCTTTTCAGGCACAAGTAATGGACCTCATATTAATATTATTAATCTACAGAACACTACCCGTGAGTATTTGTCTTTAAGAGAGTTTGTGGTAATGCAACTGTAAAAGATTACTTGTTGTTTGATATAAAGCTTTCTTTATTGCTGTATAAAACGCACTCAACTTCACACACACTTCAACTCGATGACTCAACCGACAACTACGATAGTCGTCATCGAAAACTGACACCATCAAAGTGTATGTGTCAACTATATTTCTGTATGAAAATCACAATCTCTACGCAACAATGGGTGACTAAATCCCTTACTTTTTCACTTTCTTCTTCTTAGGTGTTTTTAATTCCTTTTCTGTTTTCAGTTTACACAGCTCTTCCATGACGTGCTCAGCACTCAGTTTCATCTATGGGTTAATCAACAAGTAATATTAAAGTTGAAGCAGCAGAAAATATCCATCCTATGTAGGGTGATTGGAATGTCCAAGAAGTCTGGATGGTCTAAGAAGGACATATATTTTTTGGAACTGCTATCAAAACTCCCATTTCGAGTTTGCCTTCAAGGGTGGATCCAGGGGGGAGGGGGGCAAAGGGGGACTGAAGTCTCCATTCAGCAGAAAAAAAAACAAAAACCAAACTGAAGAATTAGATGCTTTTTTTTTGTTTTCTGTTGTATTGACGGAAGAAACTCAATTAGCCCCCCCTAAACTCAATTAGCCACCCCCCTAAAATTTTGGCAGGATCTGCCCCTTGCCTTTGCTCAGTCATAACCTTGATGGTGTAAAACTGTGTTCTTTTCTTTTATAAAGGTCCATCGTATAGTATGCAATGTACGCATTACAGAACAAGTTGTTGATTAAAATGTTTCATTAAATAGCTGAATATTATAACGCACGACCGCCGAGACTAAGCCTGAGCAAAGAGAACTGAAAACTTGAATGTTTCTAGTGCATTGCTTCCATTACAGAAAATATATTTATCACAGGATTTGTAGAATTATAAATTTAATTCTAGCTTACCTGTGAGATAGTGTCTTTTACTTTGCTGTTGATGGTGTCATTCTTTGTGTGTAGTAGTATGTCTAGAAGGGTTGAGAGGATTTCTTGTTGGATAGTCTTGGAAGGAATCGCTTGGAAAAAAGTGTTGTTGATCTGAAAATGAACCATAGACCTAAATATCATGACTGATTGATGACCTGGACACACAGACACTTGTGCATTTTCCCCACACCATACACATCATAATATACATACATCTACCCCACACTATACGCAATACACTATACACGGACTAAGTATAGTAGTAATAAATTATGCGCTCTGTGTGTGTGCAATAGAGAGAATAAGAGAAAAAATTCCAATGCTCTTGGCAGGAATTGAACCCAGGTCTTTGGTATTCCAGTCCGATGTGTTAACCACTACCCTACAAGGACCAACCACGCTGGTAACGCAGCCGGAATATGAAATGTAGGGTACTCGTGAGGATCCCAGAGTGATATTTTTTCTCTATAGGTAAGTTGAACACTGTACACAGACTGACCTGTGTTAGCAAGATTACAATAGGTGGTGGGTGTCCAGGACACACAGACACTCTAAGATCAAGTATTGTCTTCATGATATGCCAGACCCTTGGTTCAGACTCCAACATATCGGCAGTTACTGGTGAGAACTTTTGTATAAGTAAACTGAGGCAAGTATTTTCATCTTTTGATAGACCTGAAAAACAGTTAGATATGTCATTATCTATCAGTATTTCTGGAGTTGAATTATCGTGTACTATCATAATTATTTTATGAACTAGATATCAACATTAGTATCAGATAGATGCATAACACTCTGTGTTGTCCATATCATGAGGCCTGTGACCATCAAACACGGGGAACACATATATCATCATTTACTGGAGCAATATCATGAATTATTTTTTTCCGGTCCAGTATCCTGAAAAAATCGTGTGTTCTGATTGGCTGTTTGAGCGGGCGGTATTTGGCAGTATCTGCCCGCACGCGGTCTGGTATCCTTTGTCGCTAAACGGCAACACAAAACGATTACAAAAACAAGTAAAAAAATACGGGAAAAAAATGAATAAGTTATTTACCGTCCTATAGTCGGTCCGGATAGGGAAAAACTGTGCCCTCGGTCCATATATTCAAGACCTCGGGCACAGTTTTTCCCTATCCGGAACGACTATAGGATGGTAAATAACATATATATATGTATTGGTGTCATTAATAATTATTCCAAATGAAAATTAAGTAAAACATGAAGATAATGATGGTGAAAATATATGTGATAATCAATGATGACGTTGACTGATGATGTCAAAGATTATTATGGATGATGATAATAGTGGTGTTGATGATGTTGATGGTGATGAATGATGGAGGTGGTGATGAAGATGATGGTGATGATGCATGATAATAAATGATGCTGATAGTAATGATGATGATGGTGGTGATAATAATCGATGGTGATGATGATAATGATAATGATGATATTGCTACTTGTATTTGGTGGTGATGGTGGTGATGATAATAGTGATAATGATGACGATAATGATGATGATGATGATAAAATAAATCATTGAATCATTACCAGTTGTTCTGCTCTTTGATATAAGTTTCTCCAGTGCTGGAATACATGACTCAAAAAGTGGCTGTAAAACAAAAGCAAGCCATATTGAAGCTTCAATATTTTGTTGCACATGGTTGATACATCTCTCTATACTTGAATCTGTTATAAGCTCAGGGTCAGACACTATCTATTGCTTGAGTTTCATGAGGACATGCCTTCTTCAACCCAATGATTATACATCATTCACTGACATCAAAATAACAAATTATTACAGGTAAATACAGCAAAACACATACAGCATAATCTAGTGCACAATCCAGTGCTGTTGCAACAAGCTCCATCTTGTTCCAGTGGGACTATAATCAATAATTGACCAAAAGTGTTTGTGCACAAAGAGAAGAAATGAAACAGGAGATCTGAGATTGCTCCAGTAAACGAGCAAAATTCTCTGGCTCAAACTACCTTTTATAACTTGGTAATTTGTAAAAAGTTTATTTAGACTTTCTGGCTAGTTCATGACCTTTTAATTTGCCTATCATTTCAAAACTTAATAAAAACCCAGCTATGGAAGTAGTTACACATAAGGAAAAAAGGAAGGATAAAAGGGAGGAAAGAGAGTCTAGATGATTTAGAAAGATGGGATATAACTAATAACATCCCTCATTAATAGACCCCTTGCATGTGACATCGAAGGAGTTCAATTTGTTGGAGGATAAAGCAAAATAATTTTAATCTCCTGAGAATTGGAAACCTGTTATTTCCTCCAAATTGAGCTGCATTGCAACTAGCTACGAGAGGTCAATTTGATAGAAAAATGGGTCGTCCTTCACGAATTAGCAAAATGTAATCCTATTGGAGGGTGCACATGTGTAGAACAATAGAAATCGATACCTTTCCCCAACCCCACCCCTAAACCTAACCAATCACAGGGGATGTTGCAAATTCGTGAAGCCTAACCCAGAAAAATCCCAACATGCCTGGATGGAAATATATGTGATCTTTATGATGGACATTATTGATACAGGTTTTTTTTATTTAAACACTTTTATTTCTTCTGACCTGTGTAATGACACCAGACATGACTGTCAATAACGTCTTCTGCACATAGATGGGTGTCTCTTTCCTGACTGTGTGTCCAACGACGTACTCCAACATCCCAGCTAAAACCATCTCTTCTTCTGATTTTCTAGACTTCGTTTGTGAATTTTTGGCCGGTGACGAAGATAGGCAGCTGAAGGCTAGAGACAATAATCTGAACAAAATATGATTAAATTATATTGATTCATATCATGACCAAAATAATTCTAAGAATATAATATCAACTGTAGTAGTAAAGTAGTAGAATATTAGTCTAACAGATCTGGGCCGGGTTGTTCAAAAGTGGATTAACGCTAATCCAGGATTAACTCTATAGGTCTTATTAAGAGTTAACCCAGGATTAGCACTAATCGGTCTTTGAACAACTGGGCCCAGTAGACAGAAATCAGGGTAACTCTAAGTGTCTTCACCCTTATTTCCTATTGCTGGGTTTCAATCAGCTGATATAAATCTTTGATTCTCATTATTTGCTCCAAATGATAATCAAACACTGGTCACCATGTGATTTCAACAAGAAATAATTCTATTGAAAGCTTCAGCTGATGAACATTCCACATGAGATAGGAATAGACGACAAGCAAGCCCCAGTAACATAATTATTAGCACTTAATATAATATTTAAATTTATTATATAATTACCAATGAAATATCTATTTTTCTCTATTTCGAAAAATTGATATCTTCACACGTGAAAATAACATGTTATTTTCACTTGTGAAGATAACACCATTGCGATGGCTATTCAAAAATACACGGAAAGAATTGCCTGAAAAAGCCAAAACATACTTCATTGATAATTATATAATAAACAGAATATTACATGGGCGCTTGGAGATACGAATTTTATCTTCTTTTGTTTAAAATCACTACGCTCACTCGTGAGAGATCTTTTCAACACTCGAAGATGAATTTTGTATCTCCGCGCGCCCATGTAATATCCTCTATATCAGTGTTTTCTCTTTCATTTGACTACTAGACATTTTGTTTCATTGAGAAAGAAATAACAACTGGCTAGTCTAATAGACACCATCTAAATACTTTTTCTAAACTATGTCCAAAGTAATTTATATTTAACCAGTTATAGATAGAAGCTTTAATTGTAGGATACCTTTGAAGGTGTTCATGATCAGCCTCTAACTCCTCTCCACTCTCCACTAACAGATCAACAAATGTACCCACGGGGGGTAGGAGGGTAAATGATGACCTCAGACTCTTCAGACACAATATTGCGCCCTTCCTGATAGCAGGTATTGGGTTACACAATGGTACGAGTAAAGATGTCACAGCTGGGGATTGATATCACAAATATATTATTAATAATAATAAAATTATTGGGATGTGATCACGTGGTAAATATTGTGTCTTTATTATCATAAGTTTCATCAACATTAGCATGATTATCATTAATACCATCATCTACATCATCATAATGCATCATTGTCGTCATGCATCATTCACCATCATCATAATAGTGTATCATCATCACCATCATCATCATCTATGACATCATATGATGCTGGCTATAAATGTTTATTATTATAAATATACATTAATTCATTTTCACATATATTTAATTTAATTATTTTAACCTTACCTGTGGAAGAATGCCCAGTGATTTTTTTGAACTCTTGTTTACCCAGTGAAGCAAGACAGACACTTCCAACATGAAGACTGTGTACTTGTAGAAGAACAGGACTGCAAAGGGCATCAGTATCCATGATGAGTTGGTTAGAAACAGGACAAGACCATATGTATCCCAGGAACTTGATCAGGTCAGTCTTACTTGAAAGATGACACTATAATATGAATTGATTTATCAGTGGCTGAAATCTTTATATCTACACAAGAATCGGTTAAAATGAAAAAGAAAATCTTGATGGAAAAGTGACAATTATCCTCACAATCACCATCATCATAAATCATCATCACCAAAAATCAATACAAAAAATTGTCACAATCATTACCATCATTGTCATCATCACCATCATCATCAATCAACATCACTATCATCAATTATAATCATCATCATCATTATCAACATTGTCAGACTCACCATCATCATCAACTAACATCACTATCATCATTCATCATCATTATTATTATGGTCATCTTCATCACCACCACAACCATTGTTATCATTATGCATCATCATCACCATCATCATCAATAAACATCACCATCATCATTAAATAATCATCATCATCATCAAGTAGTATAGGGAATGGGGGTTCCAGCGCAATCTCAACACGGG